ATTTGTATCCCCATGTCCACATACAGGATGCCTGAATCAACCAAGGTTTTACCAGGACAACTGACTTTTTTTTTTTTTAAGATTTTACTTATCTATTCATAACAGAGAGAGAGAGAGGCAGAGGCAGAGGAAGAAGCAGGCTCCCCGAGGAGCAGGGAGCCTAATGCAGGACTTGATCCCAGGACCCTGGGATCATGACCTGAGCTGAAGGCAGATGCTCAACCAACTGAGCCACCCAGGTGCCCAGGACAACTGCCTTTATGGGGTCATTTTGGAGCTAGCCAACAATATTTTATACTAGTTTTTTTTTTTAACCGGAAAATGAAAAGATACTTTCTAGTAGCAAAGAAGAGTTCCCAGGGAAGACCAGAGCTATGACAAGGCTGTCCGCCAGGAAGTGGGTTCCCATGTCCTTTTGGGCAGAGGACTTATTTGATGGGACTTTGCCTTATCGGCTCCCAGCCTCTGCTCATGGGCACGTTTAGTAACGTGTGATGTCTCACCATGGGCAATCCCTTTGAGCAGCCTGGCTGGGCACCAGCGTATCAAGTCCTAGGATGAGCTGAAGTAGAGATGGGGATGAGCTGAAGTAGAGATGGCAAAGGTCATTGGTTTATTTAGACTAACTCACATCATTTTACTTCGATTAGCAGCTACTGTGTTCAAGGCACTGCTTTAGAAATCACTGTCAAAGCCTGGGACAGTAGGAGCAGAGTTGCCGAATGGGTTGCCCCTAGATGATCAAATCCACGCTCTCCATCCACAGCCGGGATCACGATCTGCGAACAATACTTACCTACAGCTGCATAATCGCTCAGCATTGGAAATACGCATTCATATCCATGGCCTCCCTGTGACAGAGGCAATTGGGATTTTGATTTTATCTTCCAGAGGAGGAAAAGGTCTCCAAGAGCTTATGTACTAAAGTACAGCACCATTCAACTGTGGCCTCCTGATTCCAAAGCTCTTACTGTCACTAAATCAGATGGATTTTGTCACACGGAGGGGGCACACTGCAAAGTCTTTAGCATGCATTCTAGAAAGCACATTTCTAGGAGAGCTGGCTTGTGTCCAGGTACGGGCTGTGGCCCTAAGAAGCCCTGATCTTCATTTATGTCATGATCTATCCATCCAAGGAGGGAATTTTGTAACTGGCTTTATCACGCTCCAAATTCTGCTGTCACCTGAATTAGAATTACTCCGTCAGCTGACCCAACCTGAGTAGAGGGAAATCTCTGGGACTTTATAGGCCTTCTAGGGGGAGGAGGACAGCACAAGTCATTCTTGATGGAAAATTACATCTATTGCTCCAGCTGATCCAAGCTTTCTGACTTTCAAGCCACACACTGTATCTCTTCTCAGGCTTTAGTCTTCAGGAATGAAATGAAACCACACTGACTGCAGGGTAAGCATTCTTTGTGTAGGGGGAGCAAGAGTTCTGACCACTGCTCTTCTGTAAAAAAGTTTTGGGTGGAGGGCTTAGGAATGATCAGCCTGTGCCCAGAGAATCCACTGGAGAGCCATGCACCACCTGGACCCCTCAGTGTTCTTGGTCCCCTCCCAAACAGAGGGGAAGCCACACGGGGAACCTAAACAGAGTCAGGTATCTGACGGGAAATAAAACATTCAACCACCCATCAAAGTGAACGGCACTGGAAACCCAAACATCAGGATGGTAGAATTTCTTTCAAATGGCAAAAAGGCCCAGAATGCCAGGGCTACGCTGAATATGTTCTAGTGATTTTCTTCCGCTTTCTTCAGCTTACTTAACAATGATTCGGAGCCCTCACCGCTTGCCCCCTTCTGCTGTAGGACAGCCAACAGAGTCTCTATCCCAGGTGGCATGCTCAAGCACTAAGTCAGCCTGTCCTGACTGCCTTGCACTTGCTGTCACATGAGACAAAAAGACCCCTTGAGGTTCAAGCCACTGGATGTGGGTTCTCTCCCTGCTGCAACCAAGCAGAACCCTTCCCCTCCAGGCTCTTGTGTGTCCTCCTGGCATCTGGGAGGAGAGGGGTAAGAACTGAGCAGAACTGACTTGCTCTGAATGACACAGAAGAGCGGGACAGGAATTCAGTTGCCCTGACCTTGGCAATGCCCAACCCCGATTTGTCTGGAGAGCTGGGGGCACTTCCACTCATGGGAGCCCCAACAGAGATGGTGGTAAAGCAGATAGCTTCACCCCACCCACCCTCTCTCTCCTCCTCCTCCCGCCTCCCCTTCCCCTGTTCTCCTGAACTGCCCAGACCCTTAAATTTCTGGGCTTTCTTCATACTCTCTCTCTGTGGGTCAACCCCTCTGTAGCTCAGTCCCCACAAGAATTACCTAACCTAGGATCCAATAACCAACCCCAAGACCCTGTTCTCAACCAAATGTGGGGTTAGAAAGACTCTAAAGAATAAAATCATTCTAAAAGGATAATGGCTTAATATATTTCTCAGGTATATGTGCATTTTTAAAGGAGAAGGTCTCTTATCTTAAGACTTAATGGTAGACCTTGGGGGATTATGACAGGCAGTGGGGAAATAATGTGTAGCAAGGGGTTGTATCACCCCTTGGTAAATTCCCACCCCCACCCCTACCCACCCTCCATCCACTGTGGTCAGTCCTAGGTCACTGCTTTTCCTCTGAAATCAGAATCTCTTCATCCAGCTGCTGAGAAGAGAGAACAAAGCTGCCAGCTGATTATTATTCAAGAACAAAGCAGACCATTTATTTTAGCAGGTTCAGAGCCACTATCCCCCCAGGACACATGCTACAGTGTATGCTAGCTTTATCTAGCCACATTTCCTTCTGTCCTCAAATCCTTAAAGAGTGTGTTGTTCCTCTCTCTGGAGCAAGACAAAAGGGAACTGGAGAAAGAAATTTGTTGTAGCAATGACCTACAAAATCTCTCTCCTTCCTTTGCTGCCTGGATGTCTCCAAAGCAACAGGATTTCCTGTCTCTTCCCGAAACCCAGGTGAATGAGAGAAGGTATGAGAAAAGAGGTCCCCGGCAGCCATCTTCCTTCTGAAATACCGGCAGAACCACACCCTCAACCTCACCACCAATCAGCAAGGATTCAGGCTCCTTTGCTGCCAACAGTCTCAAAAAAGGATTGCCAGATAAAACACAGGAAGCCTAGTTAGATTTGAATTTCAGATGAACAGTGAATAAGTATTTAGTATCTAAGTATATTTCATGCAATATTTGGGACATACCTAAACTAAAAAAGCATTCATTTTTCAGATGTGCTAAACATGGTGACCGACCACATTATCTCTCCCTCACCTCCATCACCTGTACCCTCTCCCCCAGCTGGCTCTGGTCTCCACACCGTCCTAGACTGGACACCAGAAGTATGACAGAATTCCTTTGATGCAGATGAGGATTTATGCGGGTCCACACCAGAAGCATATAGAATGATGTCGATCTGTGTTGAGCATTGAACAGTGTCAGAGATAAATCCCACTAGGAGATGCTTCACCTCCGGCTGCTTCAGACTTGCTTGCCTGAGGTCATGACGAATACCTAAAAAGACCAATTGATACATTCTATGGTCTCAGAAAACACAGGGACTACTTCTCTAGAAGAGACAGTGAAGTTTAGGAGGGAGGCCTCGGGCTTGTCTATGTCAATCTCCCTCCGCCCCATTTGGAAACTGCGAGATGCAAAAAATCCTTTCCTGCTCAAAATTCTGTGAGTCTATCGCCCCTGGCTGGCTGAGAAGTCCAGTCTTCCTCCCTCTGGTGCTGCTCAGCCTTGCTCCAGGCCCAGGCCACCCAGGGATCCGGCTTCAGCCCCAGCAACTTCTCTCCCCAGCAGCCCCAGCAGCAGCCTGTCTCCCAACCATTCCTGATGCATCTGACACTTCTCCACCCTCCCATCCTGAAGGTGGGTCCTATTTGGAGGTCCTTATCTGAGTTAGCACCCCAAGCCCTCTGGCTCTCTCACTGGTCCTGGTGTCTCTATCTCCCACTTCCCCGAGGGCAACCAGTGAATAATAAGCAATGGTCACACTCCCTAACCAAGTATAGGCAGAGAGCAATCACACGAATCCTAATACAATGAGGGCTCTATGGTGTTGTCCCTGAAGCGTAGCGGCAGCCTGGAAAAATTCACTTTTAAAGTAATATTAACCCAATACCACCCATCCTTCCCTCTTGCTGCCATGTCTTCTTCCCTTTTTGGTCCTTTTGTTCTATTTTAACTGTGTTCTCTTTCGCTAGTCACACTGAAATCAATTTGTCCATTTGAATTCATTGACCAGTAAAGTCCTTGGAAAGGTCAGTCCATCTTTTTGTTAAATGAATTCCCCTGTGGGACCTATCTAGCCAATAACTTGTATTTTCTCTCAGCCTCTGCTGGGTTTCTTTCTGCCCAAAGCAAACCATAAAATAAAAAGTTCCAGTAACTTTCAAGATTCACTGGAACTTATATTTTGTAACTTTGCATCTAAGGTCCTCTGAAAGCACTTTTTTTTTTCCTACAAAACAAAAACAAAAACAGAAAAAAAACAACTCTACCCTCTCAAGCATGTTATTGTTTGGAAAAAAGACACAGAAGAGTTTACCACTTGCCCAAAATCAACACTGGTGAAAATTTCTGAAATTAAGAGAAAAACCAAAAAGATGGGATTTTGAGGTAGAGATTTTTCCTTTTATATTTTATTTGTGATTTCCCAATGCCAAAATTTATGACCCTACAACAAATATACTCCTGAGGTTCTCATGGCTGCTAATGGCAGTATTTGGGGGCTTTTTCCTTTTAACATGAGAATCTCGAGGCTTCACATTCCAGAATGCTGGCTTTACCCCCAGTGAGAAAAATCTCTTTGGTATAGTATTTATTTCTATTGTTTTATAAGAATGAAAAGAAGCCACATAATTAAGCCTGGAGCATGAGAAAAGGAGCTCCAGGAAAAGATGCCTTTGTGGGGCTATGACAGTGGATGACAAAGCAGGAGGCCCCCACTTCCCTCAGATAGAAGGTCATGCAGGTCCTTCCTTTGCCTCTCCTCCAGGCTGGTGTTTTCATAGGATACTAGAAACCCAGCAAGTTTCTGTTTCAGGGTCTCCCAGTGAGCTGGTTCATTCATTCATTCAAAACCATTTATGGCCTCTCTCTCCCAGGCCGAGTACTATGCCACGCACAGAAGACATCAAGGTGAATGGGACCCAGTCTGTGACCTCAGAAAACTTTCAGATTAATGCATGAGACAGATCTACAAATAATAAATGCATCGCAATGCATCTCTATGTATTGAACTGTAAGAACTGGCTCTCTGTTGCAGGGGTTCTCAAGCATGGGTGAGTTTGACCCCGTGGGGACATTGGGCAATGTCTGGGGGCATTCTGGGTTGTAACCACTGGGGTGAGGGGGTACTACCAGCATCTAGTGGGTAGAGGCCAAGGAAATTCCTAGACATCCTACAATGCATAGGCCAATGCCCCACAACAAGGAACTACCCAGCCCCAAATGGGGATGGTGTGGAGGTTGAGAAGCCCGGTGTAACTGAGCCAATGTGATGGGGTCATCCCTATCATGGTGGCCACGTGTGCTGTTTCCCTGGCTCTGTCACTGATTGGCTCTTGCCGCTAAGCAAGTTAGTCCCCATCTCGGCTTCAGTTTCCTTGTCTATAAAATAGAGTTGGAGTCTCTAATTTCCAATTCCCTTCCTGTCTAAGAATCTATGGCTTTATTGGGCCAATAGAGCACTTGCTCTGAGCCCTGCTCCTGTTAGGAGAATGCCTTGGCCAAGGACTGTGGACTCCACCCAGTTCGAGGAGATAAACTTGCCTCCTGGGTTAATCCTGAGGCTAAATGAGGGAGGGTGAGTGTGACCTCTGCCCAAGGACCTCCAGTTAGAAGCCTCCATCTTCAAAGGCTGTTTTCCCATCAGCAAATAAGAACCACTTAATTCGTCTGCCTCCCTGTGTCAGGAGGAAAGGAATGAGTAAATGAAGCAAGATGGAAAATTACCCGGATGCTGCTCCAGTGATTAAGCCCAAATGCTACAGTCCACTTCTCTCCCTCCTGGGGGCTCTGAGGCAATGAACGGGTACGAGAGACTCCTCTCAGGACCAGGTCTGTGGCCTAGGGAGGTGGGCTTGGCTGGGGAGGGGTTAGTATCTCTTTATAGGTCTTTGGAACTGCCTCAAGGAGGATCTCTGTCATTTGTCTCCCTGAGGGGAAGTCAGACTTGGATTCTTGGCCACATATTTGAGGCACTGGGGCTGGGTATGAGTCCAGTGCCCTCAGACACTCTCTCTCTCTCCTCTCTCTCTGGCTTCAAACTCCTTCACCAAACAGAAAGACCCTTTCAGGGCCAAGGGGCTGGAGAGCGAGAGCCGCTTTGGAGCACAGAGGAAGTTAGGCCCTGGGCCTAAACATAAGGCCTTTCTAGTGCTCCCGTGGTGCTGACTGTGGACAGAAAGGCCGGAGCAGGGAGATGGGGTCGGGCTGCCAGTGCTACATTTGTTTCTGTGTGACTGGGCTCACTGTGCTGGCAGGAAAGACCCAAGGTCTGTAACTGGACTCTGTGTGTCCTCTCTCCTGCTAGACCATTTGACGTGGCAGCTTCTGTGTGCAAGGAACAAATGAACCCTTTTTTTTTTAATAGGGAGAAAAACTAAAATTCAGAGACATCAAGTAACAAGCCCCAGTTACTTAAAATGCTAGGCAAGGGGACTTCTTTTCTCATTGCTGACTGTTAGATTTGCTTTGTGAGCATGTCAACAGTAAATGGACCTAAGTCCCTTAACCACATATTTCCCATTCTCTATGTGTCCATTGTTTGGCTTTTGGTTTTGAGGGTTTTTTTTTTTTTTTCTGGTACAATTTACATTCAGTAAAATGTGCAAACCTTAAGTAAACAGCTCAGTCACACACACACACACACACACACACACACACACACACACACCCATTAAGCTTTCACGGGGATAAAAATACAAAACATGTCCATCATTCCAGAAAGCTCTCTCTTTCTCTGTTCTAGCTGGAACCCCCCCGCACAGCCCAGGAAGTCACCTTTTTTTTTAATACTTCTATTGCCATAGTCTAGTCTTGCTTATTCTTCAACATCGCATCTACCTCATATTCTTTTGCTCCATACAATGCTTTTCAGGTTCCTCCATGATGTGTCAGTAATTTGCTCCTTGTTATCGTTGGATAATATCCCACCGTATGAACATACCACCTTTGGTTATCCACTCTCTTATTGATGGATATTTGCATTGGTTTGGTTTGGGGCTATTATGTTCATTTGATTTTTTTGGTAATTAGTCTTATGTGCATATTTCAATTCTCTATTCCAGTGAATTGTAATGAAAGTCACCCTCCACAGGACACAGCATGATGAGAAAGAAAGACGTACTAGATGATCTAAAGTCCTGTCAGCCATAAGACCCTCTCATCGACCTTGTCCCTAAGAGCGGCTGCCAAGCACCTCCTTGCACAGGGTTGTGACAATGTCCTCTTGGAACAGCGGGGCAGAGGGTGATTGCTTCCTCATACACAGGGATGTGACTCTGTACTTCTGGGTCCCCAACAAAGACTAGAAGAATTACAAGAAACACCTGTTTCTCTTCACCAGGTGATAGCTATCTCAAAGGAAATATGCTCCCCTGTTCTACCCACCGGAAGCAAGTTGAGGGAGGCCAGCACACACGGTAAGACAAAAATAAATGTATCTACTTCAGCCGACATCTCTGCCCTCCGTGGAAAACAACCATTCTCCCTTGAGATGTGTGGGAAAGAGCAAGGCCCACGCGGGACCATAATCAGGTCTCCAGAGCATTTCCATCAGAGAGAGTTTACAGACCCTTGATTGAGTTCCTACCACTCATTCGTATTCTTTCTGATTCTTATTTTGTCTAACAACTCCATATTATACCTTGAGAGTCTAACTGCAGGGCACAAACTCTATCATAAGGTCAGGCATCCATTTAACCACAGCAAAGGACTCCGATATCCTCCTGGACATGCAAAGAAAAGATTGGCAACAATCATCGGGACGATACACGTAAAAAAACAAAAAACATCCCTTGGCCTTAAGATTTATTCAACAGACATTTATTGAGCCACAAAGACCGGACGCCCTAGTAGTCCAAATTAATACTGTTGTGCTCCCGGTGTGCATGAGTTTCAATCAGTGACGGCCCCCCTTCTTACATATGACCTCCTCACAGGGAATATACTGGCGGGCAGAGCCGGAGTGGGGGCTGCGCAACACAGATTCACCCCACTCCCTCCTCTCCTCCCGCCTGGCGTGGCCCTGACCTCACCTGTCTTCCAACTTCTCCTCTCCTCTCCCTTTCCCTACTAATTAGTTCCATCTCTCTACTGATCTCTACTCTGTGGGGTCACAAGAAAAGGGAAGGGAATGTAACAACAAAATGGCCTCTACTCACGCAGCAGGAGGTCCCTGCGCTCACCTCTCTCGTTCATCCGCACGGCGAGCGGCCGCGGCGCTGGTCTGTTAATCAACTCCTGCTTGTTCCTTTCCCAAAGCTGCTTTCACCCTTTTCTTAAAATGACAGCCCCATGTATAATCAGCTCCTGACAGCCCCATCCCAGCCCCTGGGGCACACTAGCCCTGATGGTGGCATCCAAAAACCAAGGTATTTTTCTCACCTCTCCCCTACCCCCCACCTACCTCTTCTTTCGGGAACAAATTCTTCTCCCCAGAATTTCTGCCTTAAGAGGAAAAGAGAGAGGAGAGTTTCTTCCATTTTGGTAGCTGAGGGAAATAACCTAGTTGTCAGTTACTTACCAAAATTTGATTCAGAAATGAACGAGCCCTGGACTGGATTTGGATTTTAAGGACTAACCTGAAAGAGCTCCTGAGGTAACATTTTAAAAAATTTACCGAAAGCGGCCAGGAGGTAAATTTGCTCCACTGTGGTTACTGGCATTAGGGGTTGCAGAGGCAGGAAATTCCCTGCATAACTAGCCTCTCTTCCCGGAGCCTGCTGGGATCAGGCACCTCCAACTCCTCCCTGCCCGTTTCTCCCCATTCCCAGCCCAGCCACCCACTGGCTCTGAGCAGAGCCCACCTGCCATTTACTGTAAGTGACAGCTTTGTAGCATATTTTCACACCCATTCATCAAATCCCTGCTAGGCAAGAATTCAGGGTGCAAGATAGGATTTAACTTGCAGAGACACCAACACTTCCTCCTTTATGAAGTCTTGGCGATATCTTCGGCTTCTTTGGAATCCTAGCCAAAGAGCAGCCAAGATGCCCTCCCCAGAGAACTTTCCGTTCTGAGAAATTCCTTCTGGAATCACCCAACCACCACCTCCACCTCTCTGACACTTACTCCCACCTTCCCCCAACACACATATAGACACACGTACACGTACACACACACACACACACACACACACACACACACACACACACACACGCACACAGTATATTGGTCAGGGCAGGCCTAACCCCTGTAACAGACACTCCCAACATCCCAGTAGATTAACATGCTGAAGGGCTATGTCTCACATTTAATGCCTACTGCTCTTACCAGATAATGCCTTGATTATAAGTTCTTTTCTAATTAAATGTCTTGCCTTGTAAGTCATAATTCTTTGACGGGGGTATGACTTCTACATTTTTATGTAACTGAGAGGCCCCTCTTTATCATTTGCAGTACAAATAGCAACCACCAACCTCGACCACATCCCATAGTTGGTAGTAGCTGGAAATCTAGTTTATGTTTTCCAAGGCCCTAGCTCCTTCACCTTTACATATCCAAAAATATCCAAGTTCTTATTGGTATGTAGGTAGGGCACTGGAGGAGAAAATGCAAAGGAAATGAGAAGTCTTGCCGAGGGATCAAATGGTCTTTAGTCCTCACTAACTGTGCCAACAGTAGTGGTGAGCTGAGGGCTGGAGAAGACTTTCACTTCCCTGGGTACAGAGTCGCAATAAGCAGAGTGCCTTCTGGAAGCCACAGAGGTGATCTCTCTGGACTGTGCTCAGGCGAGAAAACTATGCCAGTGGGGAGGGGAATGGGAGGAAGGTGATCCAGAGATACAAACTTCCAGTTATCAGATGAAGAAGGACTAGGGATGGGGCACACGGCGTGATGACCACAGCTAACACTGCCGTGTGACGTATCCAAACACAGATCCTGAGCGTTCTCATCCTGAGGAGAATTTCCTTCCTTTTATTATAGCTATGTGAGGAGGTGGATGTTAGCCGAAGCTCTCGTGGTCATCACTTCACAACATATGTAAATCAAACCCTCATGCTGAACGCCTTAAACTTATATGGTGATGTATGTCAATTATTTGTCCATAAAACCCGGGGGACAAAAGCTATTCTGAAGATCTGAGACCCCCACCCCCACCCCAAGGTTCCTTCAGCTGCTTCCTTAGGTGAGGCAACCCTGGGGAGAACTGCATTGGGACGGGTCCCGGCAAACATTTCACAGACCCAGAACTCCTACCCCCTTCTCTCCCGCATCAGTCAGGTGGAGCTATCAATCCACCTGTCAGTCTGTCTGTCTGTCTGTCTGTCTATCTCAATCTCCCTGGTAACTTCATTTGGGAGATCCCGTTTGGCAGTTCCTTTTGCTAAAGAAGAAAAAATTGATCACCTCTCAAAGGACAGCGCCACCACTTATGTTTTCCCCACAGTGGCTTGTAGTGGTGGACACAGTGAATGTTCGTCATCTGAAGGCAACTGGAACAATCCTAAGAAGGATTAGTAGCATCATAATTACCGTTCGAAAACCTAAGGGATGGATGGGAACCTGTAGAATTTGTTCCAGCTAAATCTGTGCATATGCTATGTCCCTGTTTTAGCTGCCCCCCCTTCCCGCCCACACACACACACACACACACACCCTAGAAACAAGGGGCGTAATTGGTTATTTTTAACCTGAGAAATGCAAAGATCCCAGACTGGACAAAGTCCAACAAAAATACAGCCTCCTCTCCCTGGCTTCCCGAGACAAGGCACCTGCATTTAGAATGGGGAGTACGCAGTCACATGGTCTATACAGCAGCCAGGCGGCCGAGCGGATCGCATTGCAGGCGGTGCGGGGCCGTGGAAACCCAGCTCCAGAGGCTTTGCCCGTGTGGCCCGAGCTTGACGGTATTTCCACCAGAGGAGAGATCTGGCCCATTTTGTTCAATTGGCCCATCGATTCACGGGCCTCACCTTTACACCCCCGCCCCCCGCCAAATTACTGCTCTGGCTCGCAGAGCCGGCAACAACTGGATGCGGAGGCCTTGCATGGACACAGGAGCTCGATTGCCCTAATGCTCCTTTTAGCTCCGTGCACAGCGGACGTCTGCGTGGCAGGAGCGTGGCCTGGCCAGGGCTGGCCCGAGTGTGCACGTAGTACTGAGTCATTGATGCTGGCAACTCTTCCGGGCCAGTGACTTTTCTGCTTTAGAGGCTGGCACTTCATAATTACAGCTGTGTTTCTGTTGTCATACCAAATTACCTCACTTACAACCTTAAAATAGAATCCAGCCTCAAGGTAGCTGGCTGCACAAACAAGGAGGAAGGCTTCACAAGACCCAGAACCTGGGTACGGAGCCAGGGGGCAGGCCTCGAAGCCAGACACAAACGTCCTCACTGTTAAAACCTATGTCTCCTCTCTTTTCTCCTCCTGGTGGAAACAGAGCAGTGCCATGAACTGTCTGTGTCCAAACGAGAAACAAGAATGACCTTGGAGTTCTGTCTCTGTCATGGCCCCATTCATTTTACTTACTTACTGGATGGGCTCTTCTCCCCTTGCCTTCACATCACTCTCCCCCTTGGCCACTCTGCTGTGTGCCTCGGAGGCTTCCGCAGACCCCATCACCCCCACTCCCTTGCCCCCCGGCTGCCCATTGGGTTAGGCTAATGGGAGCAGAAGATGGGAATTAGAAAGTGGGAGAGGAGAGAGGTCAAGGCAGCTATCTATTCCCCTGTTCCCCGCTAGGCTGCAGTTTGCCTTGGCTGCATCCTTCCACCTGGGCCACGGCTCCTGGCTGGTGACCGCTCTGCTACAGGTCATTGCAAACAGTGGATTTCCTCCCCTTGTCCCAGAAGCCTAGGAGGGGTGTAGGAGTATCCCAAAGCTGCTGTCCCCAAGCTCCACCAACTGGACAGTTGAAGACAAAAGAAGTGTGTTGTCTCCCAGTTCTAGAGGCTCGAAGTCTGAAATCAAGGTGTTGGCAAGGCCACGCTCCCTAAGAAACACGTAGGGGAGAATCCCTCCTTGCCTCTTCGAGCTTCTGATGGTTGCCAGCAATCGTGGGCCTTCCTTGGCTTACAGGGGCAGCCCTCCAGTCTCCATCACCTTCCTTACATGGCTGTCTTCTCCTTACATGTCTCTGTCTGTGTCTCCTCTTCTAAGGATACCAGTCATACCAGCTGAAGGCCCACCCTAGTGACCTTATCTTAACTTGATTACATCTGCAAAGATCCTATTTCAAATTAAGACTACGTTCACAGAAACTCGGGGCTAGGACTTCCAAATATCTTCTTGAAGGATATATTTCAGTCCACAACACGTGGTAACAGCCTCCACTGTGATGAATCCCTGGACTAGTCCCTTAACCCTTTCACTCCCTTCGTTAGACTCTTCATTTCCTTTTCAGAGAGTGCCACCTGTTTTCTGCCAGGACCTTGACGGAGACCCCTACTGCCTCACTGCCTTGCTGGTAGAGCACCTACAAAGTGCCAGGAGGTTCTAGGGATACAATGGTGAGCAAACACTAGCATAGTTCCTGCATTCATGGGGCTTACAGTCCACAGTTTAAGAGTCTTCAGCAAAATATCGCAAAGTAAGATTGCAACCGGGCTGAGATACAGAGGATCGGTTCCCAGTGCTAGGAACGTGCTTAACTGGGGGAATCACTCTAGTCAGGGAGGTCGGGAAGGGCTTCCCAGGGAGAGGGACACCTGCGCCAGAATGCAAAGGATGAATGGAGTCAGCCAGATAAGGAAGGGAGCTCTAGTCCCCCTCTTGACTGAGGGAGAAGACGCCAGAAGAGTTATGCCATGGTGTCCATACTTCCTTCCACTGGGGGATCTGTTTGCATTCATATCCCAATCCATCCACAAGTGACCCTCCTCTCTGAGAAGACTTGACCCTGTCTCCCACCCTCACAGCTGCAGAGCACAGCAGAGAATCCGGATGTTGAAGGGCGTGCTCGAAGAGTGAGAGGCCACTCCCAGGGCTCACAGGCAGCCACACAGTACAGATGGTACGGCAGGGAGTGAGCTCCTAGAAACCAAGTAACATGAGGCCCAGCACACGAACTCAACACTTCCACACCAAAATCACAGCATCGCTGAAACCAGCACCTCCTCCTTCTGTGCCCACAGTCTCAGCTGAGGACACCCCAGAACTTTTTTGTTTGCCCCCCTCTCCCCCTCTCAGCTCTCATTCTGAGGAATCACTGTGTGTTCCCAATTCTGCCTCTTCAGTCCCTCTCGAATCATGCCCTCCTCTCCTTCACCACTAGCTCCTGCCCTGATTCAGGTCCTTATCATCTTTGCCAAGAACTTTGCATCTACTCCCTCCTTGACCGGTCGCTACCCTATCAAATCCACCCTCTGCAGCAAGGCCACCATAAGCCTAGCCACCTCGCTCCCCTGGTGGCGGCCTCCAGGATTCCTTATTCCTGGCAGGAAACGGTCCAGGTGTGGCACAGAAGGCTCCCTATGACGGGGCCCTTCCTCCCTAGCAGCCTGCCTCCCACTGCTTCCTGCTTCACCCTTGATCTTCCGACAAGGCCGCCACTTTCATTTCCACGTACACGTCAAGTTGTCTGTCCCCTCTGTGCCATTTTTCAAGTTGTCCCACCCCCCCCACCATCCCTTCCCCCACAACCTAATTAAATCCAACTCATCCCTAAAATATTAACTCATGGGGCGCCTGAGTGGCTCAGTCGTTAAGCGTCTGCCTTCGGCTCAGGTCATGATCCCAGGATCCTGGGATCGAGCCCCGCATCGGGCTCCCTGCTCGGCGGGAAGCCTGCCTCTCCCTCTCACACTTCTGCTTGTGTTCCTTCTCTCACCATCTCTCTCTCTGTCAAATAAATAAATTTAAAAATCTTAAAAATAAAATAAAATAAAATAATTAACTCAGGTGTCGATTCCTCCAAGAAGCCTTCCCAGATAACCCTCCCCTCTCGTTTCCTACCATAGGGTCCTCCATCATTAAATCTAACGTCTAAATAGCTATGGAGGTGTCTATTTCCTCCTCTATTTCCTATTAGAATAAAGATCCTTGATGCCAGGGGACCGTGTCTCATTTGGTTTGCCATGCCTACTGCCTAGGATGGAGCTGATGCTCAAGGACTAGATGAATGAAGGACTGCATGACAAACAAATGGGTGTTGACCGTGGTGCTTCTGCACTGGAGCCCTCAGAATGAATAGAATCCTCCCCCACCTGTTACTCCCTAGTACATGGGCCCAGCCCAGCAGTCCCTCAGCTGCATCATGCTTCCCATGTGTAGAAGCTGCTTTACTGGTGTCGTGTTTTCATCTCGGGCCCTGCTAGGTAGGATATCGAGTACTTACCATTTAACAGTTGTCTGACCCTAGCCCTTGATCTTTTCTAAGCTTCAATTTGCCATCTGTCAAATGGGCTCTATTATAGTATCCACTGAACAGAACTGCTATGAAAACTGAGTGAAATAAAATAAGGTGTGTGGTCAGAACTCAGTAAATGTTTGGAGTAACTAAGCTATAAAGCGACCGGTGCTGACAAGAAGTACAAAGGGAAGTGCAGTGGTGGTACAGAGGCAAAAATGTCCTTGAAAACGGCTGCCTTGGGGCACCTGGGTGGCTCAGATGGTTAAGCGTCTGCCTTCGGCTCAGGTCATGATCCCAGGGTCCTGAGATCGAGCCCCGCATCGGGCTTCTTTCTCAGCGGGGAGCCTGCTTCTCCCTCTCCTTCTGCTGCTCCCCCTGCTTGTGCTCTCTCGCTCTCTCTGTCAAATAAATAAATAAAATCTTAAAAAAAAAAAAAAAAGGAAAACAGTTGGCCTTAAGGAGCACATCCTCACCACCCCCTAAGTGTTCCTTGTATAATCAGTAACTCGGGGAAGCTCCACTGTTGTGGGTTTATTGTGTTGCCACAAAAGGCTTCCATTTGCTTGCCAGTCTTACCCGGTGTATAAGACAAACAAGAGGAATGGGACAAAAATCAGTGCACTAGGCCAGGGTTTTCCAAGACCTCAATGAGGCTCCTGGAGAAACGAGGCATTTCCCTCCTGCTGCCAAGTTGTATTAGTGAGAGAGAAGGCCTAGTTCATCATCTCATGAAATGAAATTAGTTACGAACACAACCGTTCCCAGCCCAAATCCAAAAGCCAATCTTCAGTCCAGCTTAGGAATTAGGAGGTGACAGTTTGGTGATTTGAGCCTACCTATGAAGAACTCCAGGACTGGAAGCCAAGAGTGTGATTTCTGGCCCTGGTTTCCCCGTGGCCAGGCAGTCATGTCCATCTTCCCTCCCCAGCACTGCCTCGCTCACGGGAGTGTTGGCAAGAGAACAGGGGGGAGCTGGAGCTTTCTCTGCTTCCATATCAGTCAACAAATATTGGCTAGGTAGCTAGAGTGCCCAGTCCCATGCTAGGTCGTTTGGGCAATCTTTGCAGATTTAGAAAGGAAGTACACTGAATAGCAAAGGAAACCATCAACAAAATGAAAAGACAACCTACAGAATGGGAGAAAATATTTGCCAATCATATTCTGGTAAGGGAATAATATCCAAGATATATAAAGAACTCATACAAAAAAAAAGAACTCATACAACTCAATGGCAAAAAAACAATCTGATTAAAAAAATAGGCAGAGGAACGGAACATTTTTCCAAAGACGACATACAAATGACCAACAGGTATATGAAAAGGCATTCAACATCACTCATCACCAGAGAAATGCAAATGAAAACCACAATGAGATATCACCTCATACCTGTTAGGTTGGCTAGCATCAAAAAAAAAAAAAAACCAAGCAATTACAAGTGCTGGTGAGGATGTGAAAAAAAAGGGGACCCTTGAGCACTGTGCGCGAGAATGTAAATTGGTGCAGCCACTGTGGAAAACAATATGGAGGGCCCTCAAAAAATTAATAATAGAATTATCATATGATCCAACAATGCCACTTCTGGGCATATATCCAAAGGACATGAAATCCCTATCTCAAACTGACATCTGCACACCATGTTTATTGCAGCATTATTTACAATAGCCAAGACATGGAAACAACCTAGCATCCACTGACAGATGAATGGATAAATAAGATGTCGTGTGTGTATACACACACACACACACACACAATAGAATATTTTCAGCCATAGGAAAGAAGGAAATCATGCCATTTGCAACAACATGGGTGGAAGTTGAGGGCATTATGCTAACGTGAGATAAACCAGATAGAGAAAGACTAATACTCTATGATCTCACTTATATGTGGAATCTAAAAAAACCAAACTTAAAGGAACAGAGAACAGAGTGATGGTAGCCAGAGGTAGGAGAAATGGGTGAAGGTGGGTCAAAGGTGCAAACTTCCAGTTGTAAGATAAATACGTCCTGGGGATGTGATGTACATCATGGTTACTACAACTAATAATACATCATTGCACATGTGACAGTTGCCAAGAAAGTAGATGTTATGTGAGGTGATAAATGTTAACTAAACTCACCGTGTTCCTCAGGCTACAGAACCCACACTCTTACCTTCTAGCCTTGTTCCACCCACGCAGTAGCCTCTGGTCACATGTGACTGTTGAATACTTAAAATGTGGCTGGTCTGCACCAAGATGTGCTGTGGGAAATACACATTGGATTTCAAAGACCTGGTCTGAAAAAGAATCAAAAAAATCCTGTTGATATTTATATTGATTACACATAGAAATTATATTCCAAATATATTTGGTTAAATAAAATGTATTATTGTGATTGCTGCAAGACTGTTTCTTTTTGCTTTTTTTTAACGGGGCTCCCAGAAAATTTAAATTACATTTGTGACTCATGTTATACATCTACAGGACAGGAGTGCAGTCCCGTACTATTAACCGCATAGCTTTTGGTGCCAGCATTAAATCAGTCGAGACAAGGAGAGGACCCAGTGCAGTGCCTAAAACAAATTAAGCACCAAGAGCTATTGTTAATATTAGTAAGATGAGTGGTTTTCAAATTTTATTCTCAAGTTTGTTTTTCAAGCCATTTCTTATAATATTTAAAAAAGGAGTTCTGGGGACGCCTGGGTGGCTCAGTCGGTTAAGCGTCTGCCTTCAGCTCAAAAGAAAAGACATTCTTATCAAAGCAGAGAGAGAGAGAGAGAGAGAGAGAGCTTGGCGTCTCCCCAGGGACCCATTCACCCTGGGCAACACCTCCACAGGTTGGAAACCCGCATGGTTAAGTCATCCTAAAATGTCCTTGAAGCTCTAGCACCTTCAGAGAAGGTGAAGAGGTGATAGAAGACAAAAACCACGGTGTCTGTCTATGGCAGTCTTTAAAAATGATCATGAACATCTGCACACCACGAACAACAGAAGTTCTCACCAGAAAAAAGGAATGATGATCACGTGACATGATAGAGGTGTTAGCTAACACTCCAGTGGTCATCATATTGCAATACAGAAGTGCAGCAAATCGAATTAACACATTGTACACCTTAAGCCTACACAATGCTGTATGTCAATTATATCTCGATAGAAGTTAATTAATTAATTACCCAAAACAAGATCATGGAAGAACACTACCGTTTTGCTTGGGAGAATCAAAGTGGTTTGGTCCTGGGTCTAGCTAGACACAGTCCAGCAGTTGGGGTGTCATGAACGTGAATGGGAGGAGAGGGTCACTGCGGGTCCCCAGATCATTAGCGGCATATACAATACCCATGCACCACAGCGCTGTTCTGCCTCTGCCCCTCACAACTGCTGACTCCCCACCCATCCACGACCTGGGGAAGGCTCTCGGAGCTGACCCTGGGCACCAAGATGCCTAGGTCCAGCTCCGGGGAAGGGCGGCAAGTGATCCTCAGGCCAGACACTACAATGACTCCGCTGTCCTGAAGGCAACTCCGGGCTGTCAGCCCCAGTTTCTGCCAACCAGGCCTCCCGGCTCTTCCAGCAGCCCTCACCCCTGGCTCTGCTGTGTGTGTGTGTGTGTGTGTGTGTGTGTGTGTGTGTGTGTGTGTGTGGATGGGGACAGCAGCCAGCTCTCTAACAAGTTCCACGAGTCTGTTTGTTAAAGAAAAATTCCAGTGGGTCCATCCAACACATGGAACTCAAGTACAGAAATTATATTTATCCACCCCACTGCCAAGGAGATCACATGCCCCGTGAGTCACTCCAGATGTGCTCAAAAACAGAGTCTGTCTGTGGAAGCCCAGTCCCCCAATCCCGGAGAGAGTCGAATTAGCAGAGGTCCCAATTCCTGTCCCCCCCCCCCCCCCCCCCCCCGGAGGGTGCCTCTGCCTTCACCCTTCTGGGGCAGGAGAGGGCATCCGTGCACGTCTGTAAAGGGAACGGGGGGTACGAACTACATCTTCGTGCTGGGAGGACCAGTACGGGCATACCTGTAGCTCCCAAGGTCCCATTGGGTTTGAGGACAACTTTTCACCTTTTTAGAGGAAAAGATGTGCTGGAAGACGCTGCTGCTTCTGCTGTTGTGTTACGATGCCCAGGCTACTGTGTCCCACAAGTGGAACAGGGGTAAGTTGCTTTCTATTTGTCTGTTGGATGTTCATTACTCTTCCTTAAATACAATTAGGAATTTGGGGGGGAAGGAATAAGGTGGTGGAAGGAAATTAAAAACCCTGCACCAACCCCCCTCCTTTTATTTCCTCTCTGCCAATCGCTTTAAGCTTCTTGACATGTTAGAAGGTGCTAGAAGCTAATGAGGGATGGGACACTGAAAAATATCAAAGCCACTGAGGGAACTCGGTGGAGGTGAAGAACGCAGAGGGCATGCCTT